GTGGGCAGCTAAGTCAACAGGCCCAGAAATCGGAGAGGGGCCCAGGACCGGGCTGTGCACCAGTCTATCTGTTTGTTTGTTTGTTCTGGAGTTGTGGGAACTTCCAGCCTGCAGGGGGCCCTGATGCCCAGCAGGGGGGTAGGGGGTGCTATTACCCAGGCCTAGATGACATCTCCATCCTGCCTGGCCATCCCTCTCACCATCTCCCCCCATCTGAACTCCTGAGCACTGGGCCCAGAAGACAGAGCCCACAGTGAGGGAGGTGGCAGACAGGAGGCTTCAACCCAGCTGTGCACGGCTCTAGGAACCCTGGCCCATCCCCTCCTAGCTGTGGAAAGTCTGGTGTCACAGGGGTGTGTGCCTCTCTGTCCTGCCTTCTCCCACTCACTCCCTTCAGTGTCTGCCCTACTCAGCGTCTCAGTTTTCCTCGTTGTTCATCCTGTTTTCATTAGTCCCCCAACTAGCACTCTGAGATGTCCCTGTCCTGGGACCAGGAGGCAGGTGGTGCTGGGGTCCAGGAAGAGTCTCAGATGATGCCATGAGAGAGGTGAGGGGTCCAGCTCCTCCTTGGCCAAGGCTCAGCTCACTCCCATTCCACCCTCTCCAAGCCACCAGAGTGTACACACCAGGCTGTTTCTAACTCCTGAATCTTTTCAAGAATTCCACTGGGTTCGTCTGCCCAGGCTCACTTGGGCATCTCCATGGAGTCTGAGTCTCCTTCATGTGGACCCTACTATGCACCTGGGACCCCCAGGTGGGGCTTTGCCTTCTGTCTGTCACACCCCACAGAGCTCAGGGCCAGCCATAGACCGCCTTCCCCTATCAGAGGTTTGTGTAAGGGCCCAACACCAAGGAGGAAGCCTGAGGGAGGGGGCGGGCTGGCAGGGACTACTGGGGCACCCATAGGAAAGGGCCAGGGGCAGTTAGGAGCCAACGGAGCCGCTGCTCTCCCCAAGCTGGTGCTGCCTTCTCCATCTCTACAGGAAAGTGTCCCAAGAGCCCACGATGTGTGCAGGGGGCGGTGTGTGTGCAGGAAAACTGCTTCTGCCCCACGCCCCTGTTGTGGCCCCAGCCCTGGCCATGCGGCAAGCTCCGAAGGTCTCCAATCCTGACAAAGCACCCACTGTGTGAGCGCAACCGGTGCTTCCGCCAGCACCAACTGTGCACATGCAGAGTGCAGGAGGAAGGTTCGAATCCGATTCCGGCTTTGACGCAGACCCCGTGCTAACAGTGCCCCCAGCGAGTTGCGGGTATTCTCACCGCTCTGTGGCTGGGGACCGATGGGAGGGAGGTCACAGCACAGCGGCTCCGAGAATAGGAAGCACAGCGGCCTCCACCCGCCCATCCACGCCCACAGTGGCCACCCAGAAAGCCAAGCTCATCGGCGCCGCGGGCCAAACACAGTCGTTGAGTGGAGGAAGAAGGGGCCAGGGTCCTGCAAGAGGCGCTTGGAATCGGAGAGGTGGGGACCGAGCCGGGAAGGGAGAACTGAGCTGCCAAGCGCTCTGCCTCTCCCGGCTCCAGCGAAGGTGGCTCCCCTCCTGTCCCTGCCACTGCCCCGCTGAGAATGGGACCCCCAAAGGCCCAGGGCCCAGGGCAGGGGAGGAGTCGCTGACAGGATACTGGCTGCTCTTGGTGCGGGGTCTCCCTGTGAGACCCCTGAGGCCAAGTCTAGGCAGCCCCCAGCTAATCAATCCTGAAACGAATTAATAAGGTCAAGTGAAGCCCAGCCCCTCTCTGTCTGAACCCTGGGTGAGGAAACCCAGTTTTACTCCTCTCCATTCTGATTCCTAGCAGAGGGGGGTCCCCAGTGCACCACAAACTCACATCCCGTGGGCGGCCCGCACAGATCCATCTCCGTGTGCTTTTGCCCCCGGTGGCCCAAGACGCGCTGGGTGTGTGGTTGGCGTGTACCTTGTCTGGAGAAGCGCTTAAGGGCAAGGATCGGTGGGCTTCTTGCCTGCCAGAGATGCACATGGGAGCAGGAGCGCAGGTCCTTCCAAGGCTGGGAACAAAGAAGCCGGAGTGGATTCTGAGCGGTGGACACGGCTTTGTGGACGTCCCTTTACAACGGACAGAGAGTGAGGAGAGGGGTCCCCTCCAAAAGAATGTGAGGGTGCCTGTCTTGATGGCTCCCTCGGGGGCAGCCACTTGCGCTGGGGGAGGCGGAGCTGGGCGGGCAGCGAGTCAGCTAAAGCTCTCCAGGGGCCGCCTCCTTCGCGCTGGGGAGAAAACATCCGAAATAGGGCTGGAAGTCGGGCTTGTTTCAGGCGAACCTCCGAAGATGCTGGGGGAAGGCGGCAGTGAGTGAGCCGAGGCACGCGAGGCCCCGGGGCAGTGCTGGGCCCCACATGGGACCCTGCGCAGGGAGAAGCAGAGGCCGGCCCTGTCCCTGCCGGGGAGGCGCCCCAGCCCCAGCCCGCCCCGGCGGCCTCC